CCCCCTTCAGGTAGATGTCCTCGTGAAGAGTCTTTGAACGCCATTGGAGGAAGAACGTTAAGAAGCGGTCCCAACCATCTACCAGCACAGTACACTCACCGTTAGGCGGTATAGCCCACTAAATCGGGCCAATTTGTCGTCATCAAGTAGCACCTTCCAGCAGCCATCGTGATCACTGCCTTTAAAAAACTGCTACGAGCCGAAGGGGTGAAAAGATAGTCATCAGGGACGTTTTTCTTGCATTTTTTGTCCCACAGTCATCAATTTGAGCTTCAACACATGTTCCATGATGTTATCGTGATGGGATGATTTGTTCCTTCTGACTCCAGAAGTGATGTGTTTATGTTGACACGGAATTGTCTTCATATCGCGTTTCTGTATAAACACAACGCCTGTTCTAATTTTTGAAAAACTTTTCCGCCGATTCAGCATCTTGTCCATGTCCGCACAGGAACATTTGATGTTGCGAAGACAGCTGTAAGGGAGAAGAATAATTTTGAAAGGCCGAATGGGAACCATCGTCCATGCATAAGGCCGCGAAAAAACCCCGTCGAGTAACCGGATCGCCTATCCATAACATCTAAAGTAGTTCATGCGTCCCCACAAAACAAAAACGACGAGCCTGGCAGCAGCTCTTCTATTCAGGGGCACTTCATAGTAAGTCCTAATCTTACCACGCGAGCGGTCCGGGGATCAATCCTGGGTCGTGAGTCGCCCGGGCCAACCAAGCCTTCCATCCCTCCGGGGTCGGTTAATTGGTACCAGACTTGTCTGGGAGGATAAAAACACTGACTTGTACATCGGCTGGCCCCCGCAAGTCATTGTATAGGCCACATCGCATTCAAACGCCACTACGAATGTACAAATGGAAGTAGAATGCGTGCCGCATCCCAAAAAGGGATTGATCAACGGCAAATGCTTTATCCTTTTTTATCCTTTATCCCAACACTGAACCATACTGTCCCCTTCACTCAGCAAAAAACTGCGGCCGCACGTTGAGTGGTGCAATGTCGCCAACGGGTAAATACCACGAAAAATAAGTCACCATGGTTGGCGGTGATAAGTAACACCAAAGATAACGAAATAAAAAATATATCGATCAAACATCGTTCAACGGCATGACGGGGCTGTGTATCAGTCGAGTGATGCAACTGAACACGCGTGATTTCAACCAGCACTGAAACATGCGTGGCGGGCGTATTCCCATTCCTGCTGGTCAACGAGAAAGCTCGATCGACTCCACTTGGGGTTTCATCATCTAGGGAGGTTGAAATTTATGTATGAGTGAATACAAGTAACAGAAGCGAAATGGTACGAGACACTGGCGAAGAATATAACTGGATTTGGGGCCTCATTCAAGATGTCGTCGACTTGTTCCTTTCACCCGAATGACCACTTATTTATTTATTTATTTATTTATTTATTTATTTATTTATTTATTTACTTATTTATTTACTTAATTTAATTTCTCTCCTCTGAAAAAAGGATAGGCCTCAGTTGTAACGAAAAGTGGCACAGGAAAGAAGTGAGACAGAAACGAAAAAAACAAAAGAAAAATAGAAACTTGACCGTACTGTAGTAAAAGAAACTAAGGTAATCAGAGGAACCACAACATTTGCTGTTCTTCCATGCTCTAGTCAAAATTTCTGACATTTTTCACACTGACTACCTTACCGTATATCTTACCGTATCTTCAGTTATTCCGTGTCTATGGACAGAATTCTTGGACCAACATCGTGTATCCACTTGCTATTTATGTGTTTACTTTGTGCTCCGACCATTCAGTTACAAATATGAGATTAGCACAAACTCATTGAAGAATCTCAGGTGTTGATCACTAAAAATGCTTCCTATGATTTTACAGAGGAACGGGACCTTTGGTTCTTTATTTGAATCACTTCTTAATCCATCGCATTATAATGTGTTCTAGAACGAACGATTTCGGGGCCTCGTAGATAATTTGCAACGCTCGGGTATCGATTTGCCGCTGACGAGAGAAGCTGATGCGTCAACCATGGGAAAGTGGTTTATTGGCAAGTGCTGTTCGCCACGAACACGATAGAGGGATCAAACTTCAGGTTGTGCGCTGTGCAGCGCAAACACTCGGGGGTGGGGGGGGGATGGAAGGGGGTTAGATGACATTAAATTAACCTTGGATGATAAAACACTTACTTGTACACCAGCTGGTCATCATATTTCAATGTAAATATTTCCATGAAGGAACTGATCGGCACAAAATGCCTCCTACTTATGACTAAGAACAAGTTCCAAACAAGTGACATATAAAACCCAAAGTTACCCCTATGAAGGATAAAAGAGTAAAGAGTTTGGCGTTGCCCGAACCCTTCTTGGAATGGGCCAATCTTTCCAATCCTTTCGGAATCAGAGTGATATTTTGAACCGCTTTTCCCTCACTAAAATGACCTGTGGGCCCAGTCTGTGTACTAATCGGAATTTTTGATCTCACAGCGAGGCCAATATCTCAGTTCGTTGAAAAATTGGCGGCTTGATTGACCTTACTGGATTCTGAATCGTCGTAACACTCATTACAAACCCCGTGCCCTCTGGAACGTCGTCTAAGGACTCTCGTCCAAGACTGGCGATGCTGGACAACAATACAGAACTGACGGTCAAGCATGACCAAGCTCAAAAACGCAAACGATCTGTTGATTGCCCTAGGCAGAGGCTGAAATGGACACCTTGAGGTCTTGAGGTGAAACTCGATTAAGATTTGAACTCGAGCCCAACACGCAGCCTCGTTTAACTCTTTCGGTCTGCCATGAGATGGCGCTATGAAGTAGGTCAAATCGTTTCAAAATTACCAGTTGGATCAGTCTTCAGCTCACGTCAGGCTTTGTGCATCTAATCATTGGAACCCCTTCTTTTCAGATATTACGCTATTCCCGTATAGATAGTTGTTAAACTTAAAGGCACTGATAACGATAGTTGGAGGGTGATACGGTTTGATGATTTCGTTTGACGTCATTGGTGGAAGAGCGTTTTGAAGCCGTCCCAACCACGCCCCAGCACTATGCGGTCTAATCCACCAATAGCGTCCAATGACGTCATCAGACTGCACCGCCCCGCAGTCGTCCTGATCTGTGCCTTTGAGAAATTGCTACGAGTCGAAAACATAAAGAGATAGCCATCAGGTACGTTTTTTCATGCGTTATCTTGTCGCTCAGTCATCGAGATGAGAGTTTGTGTCACAGTCACCAACATGGGCTTATCGCGATGGCATGTTTTTTGATCCTTTTGACTCAAAAAGCTAGTATGTGTTATTATGTGTTACCGAAGAGTTCTTAAGCATTCGTTTATCTTGCTCAGTAACAACCTGCCTTAGCGCTGAATTATGAAAAACCCGTCGATTTCGTTATTTCAGCATCTTGTCTGTCCCCGCAGAAACATGTGTATGTTACGAAGACAGCTGCAAGAGGGAAGAATAATTTTAAAGGCCGAATGGGAACCATCTTTGACGCATGAGGCCGCGAAAAAAACCCCGTTAGAGTAACCGGATCGCCTATCCATAAC